TTCATACAAGTACAGATACTTAACTTTAAAGCTGAAAGTAATTTACTTTGTTTTTCCACAGTATGTTGTGTAGAACTATGCAAGAATAAAAAAGTCAATTCACAAATGGTTTAGCTGCCAAGTTCTCAGGAAAGTTAAGGCACAAACTGAGTTAGCAGTAGGTCTAAACCATGTGCACACAGACTTGCCTGGAGTCTGCTCCTGCATTTCCTCCCCCAGAGCAGCAGCAGCAGCCTGGGGAGCTGAGCTAAGCATCCTGAGGATGAGCCAGTCCCATCCCTGGAGCAGCAGAGCCTGGCAGCCAAACCCAAAGTGACTCTGGGCATGTCTGGGTGAGTCTGAGAAGCCAACCCATGAGGAGTGAGAACATGCTGATGCTTTCACTGCCAAGTAACAATGGCACCTTTCCTCCCAAAAGCAAGTGCTATCAACGTACTGAAATGCTTTTGCCTTATCCTGAAACCCAAACTCCAGCTGTGGGTGGTATTTCCAAGCAGCAGGAAGTTCTCCTGTGCAGCAGGACACCCTGCAGATCCCCCAGCTCCTGGGCTATGCTCCATCAGCAGCTCCTGGAGCAGCCTGTCCCTCAGTAGTAACCTGTGGTCTCCTCAGTGCTGCAGGAGGGAATTCACATCACCACCTTCCCAGCAAGATGGACATTCCCAGCTGCAGAAAGCCACTGTTCTACATGAGGCTAGGGAATGCTTAAAAAAGTTAAAAGACTGAAAATTAGTCCTTGGTTGGTAGCAAGATCTGAAGATGCTGCTGGCATTAAGATCTAAAACTGGTATTCCCCAAATGTCAGGAACACAAAATGCAACCACCCCTGAATTGATGGGTTTGAATTCCAGACCTAAAGTCATCATTTTAACTTCTCATCTTGCTCAGATTAATCCAATGAAGTTAAATTCACATAGGTACTGTTCACAGAACTCTGCTTCACTTACACCATGTGCTTCTCTGTAGTGTTTTGTTATTTATTACAACTGCAAACCCAGGATTGCTTTGGGTTGGAAGAGATCACCTGGCACAAACCCCTGCCATGGGCAGGGACATCTCCCACTCGATCTGTTTGGTCAATGCCTTATTCAACCTGGCCTTGAACAGCTCCAGGGATGGGGCAGCCACAGCTTCTCTGGACAAGCTGCCAGGGCCTCACTACCCTCACCAGAAAAAATCCTCCCTTATATCTAATCTAAACCTACCCCCTCACAATGTAAAACCATTCCCTCCTGTCCTGTTGCTACAGACCCCGGTAAAAAGTCCTTTCTCTGTCTCTCTTACAGCATTTAAGTACTGAAAGGCTGCAAATCTATCCCTGGAGAGCTTGCTGAACCAGCCCAGCCCTGTCAGCCTGCGCTCACAGCAGAGGAGCTGCAGCTCTCTGATTTGTTCGCACCCTCTGGATTGGCTCCAACAGCTCCCGGAGCTGGGGACCCCGGAGCTGGGGACCCCGGAGCTGGGTGCAGCCTCCGGCTGGGGTCTCACGGGGCAGGATCCCCTCCCTCCCTCCCTCCCTCAGGCCACGCTGCTTTGGGTGCAGCCCGGGACACGACCCAGGGCAGGCTCTGCATGGCCGGCTGCGTGCCCGTCCTTCACCTCCCCACACCGCCGGGTCCCTCTCGGCAGGGCTGGAGCAGGAACCGAGCAGCAGAAGGGGCTCGTTCCGTGGGAAGCAGCGGGAATAGAGGCGGGCACGGCGGCTCCGGGCACACGCGGCGGCTCCGGGCACACGCAGCCCCGCCGCCACCCCTACCCTTCCTTGCCCTGCCCTTCCTTGCCTTCCCCATTCCCGCAGCCCCGCACTCACCCTACGGGCGGGAAGGAGGGGATGGCTCGGACCGGACCGGATCGGACGGGGATGGGCCGGGCTGCCCCCCTCAGGATGTGCCGCTGCCGCGCTGGGTGTCACGGGAGGAGGCGCTTCCGGGCGGCGGGGAGGAAATGCAGCTCCGCTGTAATTCCTGGGTGTATTCCAACGGGAACGCCGCGCTGTCTGTGCTGGAGTTATTCACAGGATTAAGTTTTGCTTCGTACACACAACAGTGTCTGGGCTTTAGCTGCGCGATCTTCTCCTGGACCAAAATCCTGCTCCAGAGTCCCTCTGAAGGTCCCTCAAAGAAATCTTCAGAATCCTTACCGAGCACATGAAAATTTCCATAAGTGTTGTTAATTACCTTTACTAAAGAGGCCTGTTAATGGTTTAGTTTACATTGGCTAATGACATCAGGAAAAGATGTTAGATAGGCTTTGCTAAAGCTTTATTCTTGTGTACTGATAGTTTGAAGAACTATAAAACCTTTAAGAATGAAGTTGTACGGACTTAAAAGTTTGCATCACCTACGCTAACACCCACAGGATGTTTTCTTATTACAGATAGGTGTAGCAGCAGATGTTAAAAATCGTGAGGCCACATCGTGCAGCTCAGCTGGTGACAGAAATGGTGACAAGCTGTTATTTCTGCTCCAGAAATCCACAAAGTTCCCTCAGCATAACTGCCTGAGTGCCATCGGGATGAACACTCACCAATGTGTATTTACATCGTGCCTCTGGTGCTTTAACTCACAGTAAATGTTGTGGGATATAAAACCCACGCATGGCACTGGCTGCAGCACCAGCAGGAATGGGAAATACTCGTCAATACCTTCTTAAAGACTTCGTGCTGGTCTGCAGAGACAAACTGAAAGTATTTATTACCATACCTGTCAGGAAGTTAACACACACCTCACAGGGTCATGGGAGCTTAGCCAGCCCTCTAGCACCCTCTAGACAAGAAATAGTTTGTTGAAATACTCTTTGTTACCTTTTACTATTTATACAAGAAATAGATTTTTTTTAAGCATAATTTATCCTGATATCATCCCTGTTATTAATATGATAAATATTATAAGCTTTGCTGAAAAAGCATGCAGTTAAATGTCATCATCATTTACAAGAACATGTAGTGACAGGACAAGGGCAATGGCTTCAAACTGAAAGAGGGGAGGATTAGATTGGATATTAGAACAAAAAAAAAATCTTTACTATGAGTTGGTGAGGCCCTGGCACAGGTTGTCCAGAGGAGCTGTGGATATCCCATCCCTGGAAGTTTTCAGGGTCAGGTCTGAGCATCCTGGTTTAATATGAAGTGTCCCTGCCCAGTACTCTGGGTGGGGAGAACCCCTGGCCAAAGGTTTCATCCACAGCTGAAAGTAAAAACAGCTTTCTCCACCAAAAGCAAGCTCTGCAGCTCTCTGGCAGCTGTACAGATGTGCCTGGAAGGTAAAAGCAGGCAGGAATCTCCCCCCATCTCCATGTCAGGACCAGGTTGCTGCAGCCTACCCAGGGCTTGGGCATGCTGTGCTGCAAGGCTTCTGCTGCTGCAAATCCTGCAAGGAATTTAGCAAAGGGAACTGATTTGGACTCTTTTCTCCATTAGAGGCTTCACTGTTGGCTACACAAAAAATACTTCTTCTTGTAGGGCAGATAAATATGTGAAAACAATGATGTTATATTAGTTCATGTGAAAAGTTTAGAAGACACACATCTGGAGCAACTAGATGGGATTTTCTGAGGCAATGTGGAACATCTGTGAGGATGCCTCACAAAGGCAGTGCAGGAGCAAGGCTGTGATGGTGTATTTTTATACACAGCTACACTATAGATCTGCTCAGCTGGAGCTCTGCTGTGCTCTCACTGTTGCCAAAGCCTGTGTGTCCTTTGGCTTTGCATTCCCAGCATTGTCATTCCTGGTATGGCTCTGCTTTCCATGACAGGATTTCCTGGAAAAGTATCAAAGCTGGCTCAGCTCTGATACATTTGTTTGGCAGCAATCTGTCCCACTCACTCGGTGAGATTTCAGTCACTCAGCAGGCACCCTGTCACCACTTCTCCAGCTTGGAACTGGGAGCTTGACAAATGCAGCTCTTTGAAAAAGTTAAGAGACATCACCATGCTCTGAGCAAACAAGATGGGAGCAAGAAAATAAGTCAATTGAACAAGAAAAGAAATTAAGTAAATAAATAAAATAAATAAAGAAACCAGAGAGTGGCTTAGGCTTCCAAATTTATTTCCACTTCCTTGACCAATAAACTTGACCAAGAATTTACCTTGTGACACTTTTTGTCACCAAATGATCATTTTGAACTTCAAAATGATCATTTTGATCTGACTTTGTAAATATAAACTCAGCTCATTAAGTGACAGACAAACCCAAGGAATTTAGTGGAAAATGCTCCTTATTTGGGAAAGTTGCCAAAGTAATCTTGATTATTTTCTGGAGCTGTGAAAACTTTCTGTGTTTATCCCTGAACATCCTTAATTCAGCCTCCTTAGCCTGAACCTAAGGATATTCCCATGCAGGATTCATCTGAGACTGACAGGTTTCCTGTATGTGTCTCTGTTTTGGCACAGCTGTTTCCTTTTATTTCCTGGAATTATGCTGGGCATCACTGCTGCAAGGGGCAGATGCAGCTTCTCCTCACTGGAACATTCAATCTCAAATGCCAGAGTGAGAGGGAGGGAGGCAAAACCCCAAGTTCACGTGCAACAGAAAGCAGAAGAACCAAAGGCGTGGTTGGTTTGTTCTCTTGAGAAAATGGTCTAAAATCTGTCTCAAAGCCTGTGTTTCTAAGCCAAAGGTTCTGCAGGAAGCAGGGGATTACAGCAGGTTGAGGTGAGGCAGAGGTGGGTGACTCATGAAGGACACAGCTCCTGCTGGGGGTGCTGCTCATCCACCTGGGAAGTGGCTGCAAGTGCACAGGGTCCATAAATACCTGTGTTATTCCTGTGCTGCCTCAGGGACTGCTGAGCCAGATTCTTCAAAACAGAGGTCCCATGGAGAGTCGTGGACAGCTGACAAGGGTGAAGGGTTTTCTTCAAGTGTTGCTGATGCACAATCTACAAAGCCCCCTCAGCCTGGCTTCCTGCACTGCTAAGCCATCATTTCCCCCTGCTTCCCATCCGAGGGCAGAAGCTGCTGAGGTGCACAGGGGTTGCCCAGGAAAATTGGAATGCAGGAAGTGAAACAAGGACAGGAGCTGTCCCAAGCTGTCCCAAAGCTGTTGGTGCTGACTGCTGACCAAAATGGAGCATAGGTGAGGAACAGAGAGGCTGATCTGACAGGAAGGGCTGGAGTGCAGACACAGACAGGGCAATGGCTCAGGAGGGAGCTGCTGTCTGCTCAGGGGGTGACAAAGGGCTCCCTTAGTGAGCACACAGCTCCTGTGCTACTGCAATGGAGCCTGTGCACGGGATCACCCCAGTGAAGCTCTGTGTAGTCCAGCTGGAAAAGAGCCCAGACATGTAGGAGTTTTTCATGAAGAGTTTTGCTGCTGACCAAACCAGGTTTGATGCAGAAGTCTCTCTTGGAAAACTGTAACCTTTTCCTCTACTGCTGTTGCATTATTTTTTAAGTATGATGCAACCCTCATACCCAAAATAAAGCCTAGCTTATAAGCATTTTTGTTCATATGTACAAACCCCAGTAAAAAAAGTTGAACACAATATATACACTGGGAAATATAATCCTGGAATAGGTGTCAATAACATGATTGTTCTGCAAAATAATCCTGCCCACGTTGCCCTTCAGAGATCTCTTCCTCTTCAGGCGAGGTGTGTCAGCATTGGAGATGTTGGTTTGACTGGCCCTGGTCTCATTCTCCTCACAGGGCTCAGGGAAGGGGCTCAGGTCCATGTCCTCATCTGCATCGTGGTAGCAGCCGTCGAAAGCCATCGCTTGCACGGCGTCCATGCTGTACATCCCTGAGGCCTGCAAACAAGGGAGAGTTACTAGCAGGAGCCACGGTGGCAAAGCAGAAATGAATAAACCAGAAGATAAAGAAAGCTTTCCCCTCAGTGCTGAGCATGTGGAGAACAGGGCTGTCCCACAGTATGGCTCTCTGTGGGGCCTGCCCCCCTGAGCGGGACATGAGCAAGGAAATGTCATCAAATGCTATAAACCACACTTGTCTGCCTGATCATTGCCAGCTGCTGGCTGCCAATTCGTGCCTCAGCTCCTGAAATAGAGCAATCTAACTCTCTCCTGTAGGTCTTGTGGGAAATTACTTCAAACATTGCTGGGAGTCAGTTTTTGATGGGATTATCCAATCATGTGAGCAACATATGCATTCTTTCTGTGTTTCTCCCCTCATGATATTCCAGCAAATGAGTTTAGAGAGGGGATATTCTTCAAGCAAAGGTTTTATAAGTGAGAGCTTCACAGAAAGCAGATGTTTAACTTATGGCTATTTCTGCCTCAGGCACACTTTTCTAAAAATTACCTTGTCATTCATCTAGTCTTGGGACAAAAAAAGAAACAGGAAACATGGAGGAACATCATATGGAGGCATGCTGAGGTCTATTTCAGAGACAGGAGAAATACCTTGATTGATAGGTATTTGAAAATAGAAGGAAGGTTATATTCCTCCGAGGGGGAAAAAAGGGGGCAAAAAAGTACCCCTAACCTCTGCCACAAGGGAAAGGAGAGAAAGCACAGACCTTTCAGGATTTCAGAGAGGAGGACACTGTCTCCCTTCACCCAAGTGAAAAAAAAAGTGAGATACAGAGTGGAGACAGAGATTGTTGCTGTTCTGTTATCACAGGGGTGTATTATGATTACTCTGTGGCTTGCATGATGCTTTCAGAAGGCAACAAAAGGTACAGAGGGTTGTACCTTGCCCCTTTTTTTGAGTTGCTTTCTCTCTTCAATGGTGGTGAGATAGTTCACCGCTGCGTACTCGATGACTGACAGGAAGACAAAAAGGAAGCTGATCCATAAATACACATCCACAGCCTTTATGTAAGACACTTGAGGCATTGAGGCACTTACTCCTGTCATGATGGTGGACATTGTCAGCACTGTAGTTATACCTGCCAGAGAGAAGAGAGAGGTTAGCACAGTTCTGGCCCAGGTTCTGCTCAGCCCATCCCCACTGCAGAGCTCTGTGAGGGAGTGTGAGTGACACCCCCTTTAGCTCCCCCACACAGGCTCTGGCAAGTGGAGTGAACCATGAAGGACCCATCACACACAGTGCTGAGAGCACTGAATCATCTCTCTGCTCACAATGGTCACTGGGCAGCACGAGGAACAGGTTTGTGTGGCAGCTTTGGGCACTGCCACACACAGGGGAAAGCTGTGGCCTTTCTTCACTTCCCAGAGCCAGGGCTGCCACTGTGTATTTTCTTGTCCAGGAAAATCACTAAAGAATCATTTTCCCTCCCAACCCTTTCTCAAATTCTACTTCTTGAGAACAAATATAACCCACAGCTCTCTAAAAGCAATCTAGGATAAAAATGCTACATCCACTGAAACTAAGAAAAAATTGTTTGCCTCAGTGTGAGCAAAATTTCACCCTCATCTCTTCAATCTCTGCTCTTACATCAGCTGTTCACCTCATTTTGGTTTGCTCCAGCTCAGGAAAAAAATCCAACACCTAACTCAAGCTCTGCTTTTAAAGAAATCAATGTAAGTCTGTGAGACAGCACTGTCAGCTGGGTCTCTGCAGCCCTTGTCCAGTTCTACCCCAGTTCAAGTCCACTGGAACATACAAGAACTCTCCCCCTACCTCTCTGCAGCTTTTTTGGTTTGAAGGATGGAGGGATGGAGCTTGAAATATACCATATAAGAGGAAATCAATTTATTTAATGTACATACTCTAGGCCAAGGAGCTAGGCTTATTAAACTTTGTTGTTAAGGTTTCCTATAAATTATGTATGATTATGCTAATGAAATGTGCTTTATTCATGGAACTCCTGATGCATAACCTTCTGCAGAAATCCATACATAAAAAACATGATCAGAAAAACCATCTTGACAACATTAAAAGCTGCCTACTGAGAATTAAAAGGTTATTTGTAAAGATGAAGTTAAATTTCTTCTAAATAAAAGGAATTCATAGATGCATGAATAAAAGTAGGTAGGAGGTACCATAATTTGTTTACAGATTAGCAAAGAGATTTATATCTCATGTATTAATAGCTTTAGACTGTGCCAATAGAAAGGGATCTGAGTGGCTACAGTCCTATTTTTTCTAGGAAAAAACCTGTATCTTCTTGATATAGTTACAGAGAAAAATGAGGGCTTCTGGGACCAGCATCAGTGAGAAGAAAGAACAGGAGCTTCTTTATTTTAACCTGACAGTTGCAGGACTCAGGTGCATTATGGCTGCATTAGATATCTTAACAAATTTCCATCAGATCTTCAGAGATCCTAATTTTTGAAAAAATCTACTCACTCCAGGGCCATCAGTATTATATTCCCAACAAAGACAGCCTTGAAGTGGCATCCAATGATACACCAATGAGAAAAAAATAAATTTCTATTAAAAAAACCATAATAGGTCCTCTTCTCCTGAGCTGAGGAGTTCAGAACTTACTTTCTGGCTTCCACAAAGATTGTGTGCCTTGCACAGCTAAGACACCAAAGCAAACATTCCTAAGGTGTCCCACAATGAAAGGCTTTGCCACACAGGCAGCTGTTTCCAAGTTGGTAGGAAGATAGTGAATGTTTCTTGAGAAAAAGAAGAGCTGCAGAGCTTTTCCATAGATTGGGCTACACCTAATGATCCATGGATTTGGGGAGGGATCTCACTGCCTGTTCCTCCCTGTTACTTTGCTGGGAAGAGGGAAGGAAAACCCAGGTTTTGCAATTCAGTAAAATTCTATCAGGAAATCTGCAGAATCATCCCTTTTTGCTTTTGTGTGAGCTGTTTCCAAAAACAGCAAAGCCAGTCTGAACAAACATCCCCTTTCCAAATGCAGAGACTGACTACAGGTAATGACAACAGAGGTAATAACAGTGTTGTTCAGGCAATTAGCTGATATTTTTGCTCATGTACTGTGTAAATAAGGTAACTCCAAACCCTCCCCTCTCAATTCCATACCTCCCAAAGAATATACAGCAAAGATTTACCTAGTGACACCCTGGCAGGAACAGCTCTTCTGTCAATCCAAAAGGAAACCCAAGACAGCATCACCATCAGCATGGCTGGGAAATAGGATTGTAGCACAAAAAAGAAAATGTGTCTGCGGAGTGCAAAGTTGATAAACAGTCTGTTGTACCAACCTATTGGGGAAAAAAAGGAGAGGAACAGGTTGGGGAGAAGAGAAGAGAGCTGTGTTATTTGTGAGCTCTGTTTGCTGGCAGTACCCCTCCTTCTGGCAGGAGCAGTAAATGCCTCAGAAACCTTGCCAGCACCTTAGTTTTACACAGTGCTTTACAAACTGTCCATCCTCCCTCATTTATGGGAGCATGTCTGTAACACTCTGTTATAACTGAGGCTGGGAAATTGAAAAAAATCAAATGGACTTGAAATGAAACCGCCAGGAGAATACAGACAGGATACAATTGTGCAGTGATGCCAACACCCTGCCTTCCCTGAATTACCTGACAAGAAGCAGCCCTTCTTCCTGGCTTTTTGGGTGTGTTTGGTGGGAGCTGCCTGCCGGCCCAGCACTCACTCGAGAGGACAGGGTGCCATCTAGCGAATTTAGTGCATCCCTGCTGCACCTCCTGCCACGGCAGGGAAAGCAGGTTTCAGGGAGGGAAAAAGGCAGAAGTGGGCACCTGCACAGCACCTGCCTGTCCAGGACTGACAGAGGCACCTGTGAGCCTGTGCTGGAGCAGTCCTGCCATCACAACGAGTGACTCTGTAGAGAAGAACATATCAAAATGAACCCCAAATACTATTAAATGTTCTATTGTGTTTTCAGTTTTGTGGAGAAGGTTTTTTGCTTTAAAGATTATTGTCTCTAAAATGGATTTAAATTGCTGCTCCTCTGGAGGCCTGGGAACTCCAAAAGCCTAAACACCACAGGTGCTGCTCACTGAGATTCACAGGACAGGAGATGCAGAACCTGAAATGCAGAAAGCTGCTTTGTGGGAATGATGACTCTCATTAGAGTGCTGCTGATTGTTCTCCACTATCATTTACTTGGAGGGTAAATTTGCTTCCAACAAGAAACAAAAAAACAAGACAAAGTGGAACCTCCTGAACAAAACAAAACCTTGAAGCCAAAGCCAAGTGTAAGTCTAAATTCTGATTACCAGATATGCTACAAGTATTATCCCAGTGGTTCCTGGGACTTAAAACAAGTCTTTGCTTTCACCTTTATGCTGCTGAATAAGCTCACCAACAGGATCTCCGCATGTTAAGTGTAAAGTTACACTCTGCAAAGTCCAAGATGCTGGGAGGTGCTGCAAAGCCCTGGGTGCAGGGCCCTTGTGAGGGTGCCCTGCTGTGCTCAAGGCTCTCTTTGCTTGCCTTGAGTGGTTTTTGATGAGAATAGCAAGGCAGAAAGAAGCCAGCTGAGCTCCTGGAACCCAGTCTGGTGGAAAATATCCCAGTCTCCTTCTGGCAACAAGGACAAATTGGATGCAGCTCTCAGCAAGGCAGAGTTATCATAGCAGGGTATCCACATGACAGTGGCCCTTGAAAGATGGAGCTCTGTTCTTGGCTCACACAGGAGCAGGAGATAAGGGGGAAGAACCTTATCAAGCTGTGAATTCCTCACTGCTGAGGCTGCATCATAATTTAAACTGGGATTTCTGCATTCAGTAGTAGCCACCACAATTCTGGATGGCTCTCTTTTGAAAACAAAAAGAAAATAACCTGTAAATAAAATACACTAAATAAATATATCTGCTGCTTTCTTTAAAGGCTTTTTTTCCAAAGACTTGTGCACTTCATTGTATTAAATGGAGTCATTTCTCTTTTATTCATCTGTTTTGATATAAAGGGCATTAACCACACTGAAATGATTTGACTCAGACTGTAAAGTACAATAGCAAGAGTGCTGTTTCTTTGGTTAAAAACCTATGGTTAGACTACTTACATAGAGAAGTGTTTCAAAATTTATAATTTCATGTAAAACACAAGGAAAACAAATCCTCACCCTGCATGAAATCAAACCATGAACCCCTAAAGCTTTGTGCAGTTTGCCAGAAAATATAGAGCAAGATCAACAGGCAGAAATAAAACCTGTCTGGGGAAGATCAACCTGAATTTAAATTATTTTGCACTGACATAAAGGGATTTTTTCCCTGCAACTTTATGTATAAACAGGGAAATTTAAGCAAATCATGAATTAGACCTGAACAGGTAATAATCTCATATGAAAATCCTCAAGTTAGCAGACTTTTAGTGATGTTACACAGCTCCAAAAGTGAGGATATTTTAGCCAGTAAAACACACTGGAATTCCTCTTGTTTGCTTTCTAGTATCTGACCCTTTAGGATTTCCATTTTCAAGCTTTTCTGTATAGCCAGGACATAAAGATTCCTGTAAATTCAATACTCCAGTGGCTTTCAGAGAGGCACCATGATTTTGCAAGAGCTCAGAACAGCATGTTTTTGTGGTTGTGCTTTTTGTTCCAGGCTCTTAATGCCAGCTATGAAGTTACAAGTATTATTATGGCCTTTTTTCCCTAAAATAAAGTTTTCTATTGGTAATGCAAAGAGAACCAAGGCCCCAGACTGACAAGACCTCATTTGAACTGATCTCTCAGCAGCCACTGTCATTTACTAGCAAAGAATTTGAATGTGAAGGACATTCTGCATGAATTTATCCTGTGCTGCTCTCTCCTGAGGAGAGGGGCTTACTGTACCAGTACTGCTGTAAAAAGCAAGTCCACTGGAAGCACTGAATTCCTCAATGAAGAACTGGGAGAGGGAGATGTGCTCATCTGTGCTCAGGGACTTGTTGCCATGTTTCCAGTACAACATCAGATCATCCTCATTGTATGCATCTGTGAGAGAGCAGAAAGTGAGGTTACAAAGTTCCTGAAGTTAATCACTTCCTCTTCCCTTTCTTAGGGACAGGAGGCCACTCAAGCAATCTGGGGAAACCCCAAAGAGACATTTTTTCACACCAAGTTGTCAGCTGGCATGGAAAAAGAGCATGTTCCATCTTGTTCCAAGTGCAGCCCAGCCCTGTGCCCTGCCAGCAGCTTCCAGCTGAGGCAGGGGTGAAAAAGCAGATGTTTCACACTAACACAAGCACCCATCTTCATTTTTCCAACAAGTCAAATACTGACATTTTATTTTACTTTTACTCTGCACATCTTTTTTTCTCAGAGAAAAAACCCTCATGTTTTTTGAGAGATTTTTAGATTTAGGCCTTGGAATATATACCCAGTGGGAATAAAGCAGGGTGCATCATGGTTTTTCCACCTTCCCAAACCTCACTGAGGTCTGGAAAGATCCCAAATTGCTTCCAGTTCAATATGTACATGCTGAAGGGTTCAGGTGACACCTCAAAGTAAGTGAAAGAGGTATAATGCACAAGAGGGAGTGCTGGTAAGGATGCACATGTGAAGAATAATTAGAAATTAAACTTACAGCTTTCCAGTTCCAAAGAACAGTTCTGTGTGTCCAGAGGAAACCTGCTGAAATCCATGAAGCACATAGCAGAAACTGTTATTCTGCAGAAAAAAAGAGAAAAACAGAAATAAAATTAATAATTTCACACTTAGCTGTGCACACATTTAGTACCAATCTGCTGTTTAGAATCCTATTGATTGAGGTTTTCTCCCCTTTTAGATGCCTCTAAAATAGCTTCAAGATGGTGAAATAAAGTTAAATCAGTGAGAGATCCTATTTTTTTTAAAAAGCCCCATAAATAGTCTTTATTATTAAATACATTACCTTTGATTTTTAAACCCTCTATTTGATCCTTCATTAGCCTTTCACACCTTGGTTTGAAGGTTTACAATTACAAAGATTACCAAAGGGAGTTCACATTTCGTCATTTTATTTCTCATAGACTGAGGTAGATAATATTACAGATTAGAGCAAATATTATTCCAAGGGATGTTTCCCTAGCTAGAATGATTATAATATTTAATTGTAAAAAGAGATTAGCTGCAATTTCTGGAAGCTTACTCTCCTCTTAAATGAAATGCTTTATATTGTAAAAAGCTTAAAGAAATCTAGGCAAAGCCTATTTCACATTCCACCTGCTTTTCCACAAATGTTTAGAGGACAAATACCCCTTTGTATTTAATAAAGAACAAACAAAAAAAATTGAACCTGCTAGGGGCAGCAAATTAAATATGGTAAATATTGCCACATTTCCCTTTCCTGCCACAGCTTGCATGTCATTTGATGGTTAAGTTCAATTTTTCAGTTTTGCCCAAATGGAATCCCACAGGGATTTCAGTGAAGGTTATACAAGTGCCCTTTGAAAACCTGGGCTCAGTAACCACACTGTAGCTAAAGTTTTACAAATATAAGACTTTACTGGCTTGAAATCAGATTCTAAGAGTGAAGACATGCATAGGACTTCTAACTAGGGATGTTGTTTCCATCCTTCAGCTATTGGCTAAAGGACATGGGGAATAAGAAAAGGAAGTCTGTTTTAGCAACAGATCTGGATTTTGCTTCAATAAAACCCTGGATGCCAGGCACTGAAGAAAAACTGTGAAATATGCAGATTTATTGCATGTAAGCATTTGGAATTTAATTTACTTGCTACATGTAAAACTAGCATTAAAATAGGGCGTTTTAAAGCACATCTAAGGAACAATTCCTGCTTCTCACTTGGAGAATCACTGATGCAAGCCTTAATGGAGGGCTATAGCTCCTCTGATCCCTCCTTCTCAAGAATTATGGAAATTAATACAGCAATAAAAAGCACACTTCACCTCATTGTTCCTTACTTGAACATACACTACTTAAAAATAGTGCACAGCTGTTGTTGTGAGGATTCCTGCATGTCCTCATGACAGAGGAGATAAATTCATTAATTGCTGCAACAATAATTACACAGCCACAACCTCAAATGCTTCCATAAATCTTCAAACTGTCCAGATTGGATGAAATATCACTTCTGTGCTCAGAGCTAATTAGTACCGAAGTTAATTTCTGCAATGCACAGGCCTCAGATCCCTTACCCTAGGGGGAAAATTGCTACATTGAAACTATTTCTGCCACATCATCCAAATCTCCTTCATAAAGCAAAGCAGTAACATACAGAGGGAAGGGAGACACATTAATGACCTTGCTGTTCCAGTTCTGGAATTGCTGTTTCACTTTCCAGTTCCTTTTAGTCCCACAACACTGGTGGTATCAGCACCAAAATCTGTGCCTGTTTAGAGCCCTGGTTTGTATCACTGGCATGTTAACTGGCTGAAAATAGCTGAGACAGTTTCAAAAGACTCAGGAAAAAGAATAAAACAAACAAAACTACCAAAATTATGGTTATTTGTTAATAATTATGGGCTTTACTGTACTCAGTAGCAATACTGCTAGAGCCACTGGTAAGGAACTAACACTTGATATTTCCCTTGATGGGAAACAATACCTGAATGGTAGAAAAAATACGTTTTCAATCCTCAATTAATTTTCCCACTGGCATACCAGTTTCCCATGATGTCCTACCAGGGGATTAATGCCAGATTCTTACCTGCAAGTATTTCCAGTCATTTTAATCACATGACAACTGCAGCCATGGATGTTCTCAGGGAAGGGTATTTCCTCACCTCAGGCTGAAGAGCACGTTGCCATCGGGGTACACTCGGAGCATGATGTTTTCCACAGTTGTATCATGGATGAAAGATCTTTTGGAGTGCACAAAGAACACATCAGGCACCCAGATCTTCTTTATCAGCCGTCCATCGAAAGTCATGCTTTTGTTTTTGTTGCTACGGAATGAGAGCCTCTCATCCTTCCAGTAGTGTCTGAGATACAAAGTCATGGTGAAGTCCTTTGTTTCATTCAAAATAAAAGGAGACAACACTTGGTTTAGTCATGTGCAATAGAAAACACGCCAATTACATATACAAAGGATCAATTTCTTCATTGCACATTATCTGAAAGATCCTTAATAAGAGGAACCAAGCACCACTCAATGAGTTTGAATCTGAATATTGATGAAATTTTGGTTGTTTCCCTGTCCATGGTGCCTGAGGCTAAGACTTCATTTATCCTTAGACAAAACTTCTACATATTTCAGTGGTCTTCTGGATTGGGCCAGCTGTGCAGTGAGAAAGAAGCTTTAAAACCAAACAAGGGTAAATGGAAAAAATGTTTCCTCTGGAAATCTTCACAACCTTCTCCAAGAATGGACTGTGGTTCCCTTAAGGTTCCTTTACAAAGGCATTAACTGGAGTTCTTCATGAGCACTAGGTCAATTTTTAAAATCCACAAGTCTGTTCATTTTGTACAAATATTGTACAGGGGCTAAATTAATACATTTATTAATCAAATGCATCATAAAGAAAGAATTCAATGAATATCATAACAGTAAGGAGTTAGATTTTACAATAATTAAAATAACTACACTATTATTTTAATATAAAACATTATCACAAATATTTTATGATCCTATTTAGAGAAACATTATGACTGCAAATCTACATGTGGGAAGAGATGGAGAGGATGCTGCAAAGGCAGTGTGAGCTTCTGCACAGCCTGACTGCTCTGTGTTCACCTATATAAATTTTGTCTTATTAGGCAGACACCATTGATCTCTGTAGAACATTTGCTTCTGGTAAGAATACTGTGAAGAGAGTTTGATCTTCCCCTGTAATATGATTTTATGGCCCTGTAATATGATTTTGTGATTTGAGTAGGTTTGTAAAGGAGTGCAGGAGCTCATAGTGACAATATTAGTGACAATTTGGGCTGAAGAATGGACAGCCTGCATTCCAGTACCACAGGTCCTAAGCGCAGTGTCTCCTCCCCAGGACCATTTCTGGAACTGATGTTTCTCTTTCCATTTGTTATGATCACAGCTCCATCCATGTCACAATTATGGAACACTCAGATTTGCATAGGCAAAAGAAGGAAAGAACATGAAGCCTCATCATGCAATGGAGCATTCAAACCAGAGCACTGCCCACTCTGAGCTGTTCCTCTGGCCCAGGGAGAAATTCAACACTTACTAATGTAAATGCATGCTTCAAGGCAAGGATGTGCTCTTTAGGGTTTGCTTTCTTTACCTACATTATTCTGTACCATCCATCTGGATGTTTCTGAACCCCCTGTATTTTTACTGAAACCCTTTATTTCTGTTCTGCTCACCATGTCCACTTCAGAAATGCTGTCAATGCTCTCCACCTGCACATCAATGCCCACAGGTATTGGTGACCCTGCATGGGAACAGAAAGAGGCATGAGGAGCAAAAATCCATATTTTTAAAGGGGAGACAGCAACACCAGCAGGATACAGAGAGTACTCTATCCCAGAATTTACTGCAGTCTCTCCACTTTAAAAAAAAACTGAATGAAAAAAGGCAACAACGTAAAACAGTTGTGAAAATAAGCACAAAATCTTCAGTGCTCTTTTTGCAAGCAGACCAGTTTTTTTTTGGCACAGCAGTGGCAGTGTCCTTGTGATGCCACAGCAAATTAATGAACCCCTTGGAGTGCAATTCAGAACCACCATGGGAAAAAGCTGAGTAAATACATGGAATACATCAAAGATTGCAAAGCTTTCTTACCACTTCCAATGCTTATTCACAAAAAACATACTTACTATGACTCTTTAGTTACTTTACCTTTAGTTACTGAGCTGTTCAAGGTTTGGTATAGCTGTTCATGAAAAAGCACTGCTTGCTCACCACCTCTCAAGGGAAAAGCTGTACACATGCTAATCATGTTCTGTCACTGTGTTGTGTATTTACTGAGTGCATTTTTAGCATGAAGTTACTCCAAATCAATTAAAAATTACAGCCAAATATGAAATTATTTCCACTCTTTTCAGTGTGAATGAAGGATTTAGTTCTACATGGGTTATGTCATTCCACTAATTGATTAATTAATTGCACAGGGGAGGAAGAGAGGAGCATGCATATATGCATATCACAGCACCACCCCAAGAAGATTCTGCTTTTAGCATGAAAATCAGTAGTAATTATTGTACACAGGACTCCAATCACTTTTGTCAAAAACAGCCAGCTAAAATATTTTTTAAGTACACATTTCAAATAACCAGTTAAAAACATCAATAGAAGGAAGTCTGAACAGCAACAGCTTTTCTAACTTGTCTTTTTCTTGTCTTTTCCTTTTAGCCCTGTCAAGCCAAAATAGACCAGGAACATCAATCTGGTGATCACCAGCCACAATATTGTGTCCCTTTTTGGAATTATCCTTAAAATAGCAGCCTTCCAGGATTACACAGCTGCCTCCAGTTCTTACCAGTAAAGATCTTGAACTATTTTAGAGGTATTTTAAAATCTGGCTCTGTAATCTCTTGATTTTACTTGTCTTTTTTTAATGGGGAGTCTGTCCCTGCACAGATGAAGATGCACTGTGCATGGGAAATAAAGTGAGATGTTCTCAGAGTTGGCAGGGCACATGAGAAAATATTTAGGCACTGACAAGAGCTGGGCTCCTTGGCTCAGAAATTGTGTCCCTCTCTGAGAGAATGCCTCCCTCAGCCTCTTGGCCAAAGCCCAAAGATTCAGGACTCTAGAAAGCAAAGTTTGTTATTAAAACACCAAGCAGTACTTTGAAAAAATGCTGCTTCTTCTGGAGAACAGAGACAGGAAAATACAGCTGCTCCAGAGGCTGATGCACAAAAGTATCAATAAATATATTCAGCCAGACTCCTTCATACAAAACAACAGAAATTTTTCAACTTCTCCTAAACTAGTTTTGCCCACTTCTTGCTTTGTCTTGATCACAACACCAAAATAGTTTATTTACACTAAATACCAGCTTGTAGCAAACACTGGTACAAAAGTGCCTGGTAGTAATCTGAGTCATCTTTTCTGTATTCCACTGAAATCCTGTAAATTAAAAACAGGTTCAGCCAAAGTAGAAGTCATTGTGGAATTTATACCTGATGGGAGCATCGTTCACAAAAGGCATTCACACATCATTTAAATGCAAACAACAATTTATACTGAATTATGTGGGTGGAACAGGAGGGGAGGGGGAGCAGCTCTCAATGTCAAGAAAGGTTTTACCAGTTCCTGAGGCAAGGACAAATCTAAAGCAAATAAAGTTAAATGTCTCCCATCAGCATTCTTCAGGCAAACAAGGAGCTAAGCATAAATCACATCCCAGAATCAGACATCTGACTTTCTAAGCCTGTGCTGTGTGGTGAGGAAAAGGCTTTTCTTAGTGACTGCTGCTCCAAGTGTGATGACAGCAGTTCTAGTATTTTTTGTCATTTCAAAAATCACAGACAATTTCTTACCCAAACAAAGATTATTCCAGTGTGAGCAAAATTTCCATCAACAATTCAGCTCCTCTGGGCAGATACAAAGGATCTGATCACAGAACTAGAAATCAGTGGCAGCTTATGGTTATGTTGGCTGCATGCACACAAACCAAAGTGCCACTTACCCATAAATACACACAGAGACACCTGATTCTTTGAAAGGACAGCCTGTACTGCACTGGGAACTACTATAAAAATATGCTGGTGGTGACAATGAATAGCATAAAAGAAACCAGAACCTATGGCCAGGAGAAATACAGTGATCAATTCCAAAGTGAATTGAATAAAAAGGGAACTGTTACAATTAAATTCATTCCTGATTAGGTAGAAATGCGAGAAGTGTGAAACAGACTCCTTGAGAAGAGATTCCTCTTCTCTGTCTGAAGAAAGACAACAGCCTTACTCATGATGCTCAGTGAGAAAACACTGTCCAGTCTAGCATTCAGCACAGAGAATTATTAAAGCACATCCCCTACCCCAGCCCTGATCCATTACTAACAGATCAGAGCAGCTGCAAATATTTCCTTCCCATTCTGACTCTGGCAACAAATGTAAGTAGATAATAAAGACAGTAAAGACTGCACAGACATGATCACTGTGCTGTTCAAGTTTCTCATCTGGAGCACCTCTATATCATTGTCACTAACACACCCAACAAGACACCCCTCAGTCTGGTCTAATCATGGTTTTTGGGAATATTTCTCTGTTTGATTAAAAATCACCTCCACTAGAATCAGGGATAATTAGCTATTGGGAACAGGCTGCTAGAAACTGTAATTTCTTCATCCCTTAGATTTATTTTGTCACAAGAGGCTGTTTTTATAAAAAAAAACATAATTACAGTAAGAGTTGAAAAGGTTCCTAAACCGGCCAAAATAGGAAAGCAATTTTTCCTACCTCTGTGTCTGCACCAAGCTTTCTCCCTGCTAGATTGAGAATTTCAATCTCTGGCTGACCATCAGACAACAGCATCAAATTCCCTTTAAAAAAAAAAGCAACCAGAGCAAAGCTGTGGTTTTTATTTCCCAGTTTGACAAAACTGGGGATGGCAGAGAGGATTTTGTTATTAAATTGAGCAGCTTCAGTTGCTTCTGGAGGGTCACTACAAATCATTATTTTAGAGGGATTAGTGATTTTCACAATGGAGGCTCCACAGATTTTCAGGATAATTACTCCTCAGCAGAAAAAAAAAAAGGCATTGTTTTCAGACAGGTTTAACTTCATGCAAGCCATTTCCAGTCTTTTATTTTAAAGGTTTAAGCATAGCAAAAGAATTCCTTGACGAGCATGGAATTTTATTAATGGATAGCACATCAGGCAAATTCTGTAATACCCTTTCTAGAAGGGATTTTATGTAAAAAGGCTATCTATCCTTTCAGCATTTTTAGGATCAGTTTCCACAGTAATAATGACTGGTTTAGTGAATGCTATAATATTTTTATAACAGCCAGACCTTTGGGCACACAACAGATTGCACCTGAAGATCTATGGGATAAATGTTGAATTTAGAAACAACTGCACCCAGCTGGCTTTGTACATGCTGGAAAAAAAGGAAAGTCTACAAAGTCTATCAGTAGGAGATAGAGACTAAGGCAGAATTAAGATCTGTAGGTGGACTTTGTTCTGAAAAAGAGGAAGAAAACTGGATAGAAATGCAAACAAGCTCAAGGGAGTTGAAGCTTTGTGGATTTTTAAATTTTCTTCTGGCAATGACAGGAACAGAAGAATTACTGGCAACAGGATTTTCTTCCTGTTACTACTGTGTTTCTTTCTTATTTAAATAAGAAACAAAGGTGGTCTGGTATGAGCAGTAACCAGCCCTTGGAGTAGAAGATTTAGCAATGTGAAAGAAAAAAATCCAGAGGAAAACTGTTAGAAGTCTTGCAAATAATCAATATATTTCCCCTCCCCTCCTGTCCTGGATCCCCAGCTATTCCTTCCAGTAAGAGATGATAAAAATTCCATTTTCACCCATATGAGTCTTTACCACAGGGAGAAGACATTTCTCATCTTTCAGGGAGAGCTGTGGTGCAAAACAGAAAAGAACTTGGGGGCAAAGAGGTGTTAGAATTGCAGCACTTTTTGAAGCTACATTGGGCCATATTTTCTTTCCTTCCCTCCCCCCTTCTACCTTCATATATAATATATTATTATGTATATATATGTATTATACATATATTTTGAAGAGGGAGGAAGCATAAAGGGGGAGGTGATATAATGAGATTTCTGATCCTCTGAAAATTCAGAATTAAGATTATCTTTAATTGCAGATTGAGATGCAAATTTTCAGGAAAGACCTCTTGACCAGCTAAATGCTTGTGAATTATTTTCATAATTTCTAATACTTGCTTATGTTATTATCTTCCATATTGGTTGAAAAAGAAGAGATCATCAATTTTAAAACTTTAACTAACACACTTGTAATTGAAGGAAACTACAGGTCCTTAAGACACAAGGTAAAAGAAAAAACAATATATATATATAATATATATATATATATAAACAATATACAGACATTTATACACACATGCATGTGTTACTTCCACCAGTACTTTGAAATAAGATAGTTCAGAAAATAAAAATATATAGATGAATAGATGTATAATAGGGAAAAAAGTAGATTTAAAGCATTTCTGTGGATTTGCTCTCAGACCTCTCTCAAAGTGGAGTTTTGGCTGCTCTGGCAGTTTGCATTGTGGCCCTCAGATCTGAGCTGTTACAAGTCAGGATATGCTGAGAAGTCTCATTCATTGTCTGTGCTCACCCTTTCTTGCTGAGTTTAAAACTTGGGGATGGGCATTCCAAGAAGTTCTGGCAGCATAATTTCATTTCTGACTTCTTCTCCACTCCCAGTTTAAGCTGCCTTCTCACTTCCAAACCAAACAGGACCATGACATTACACAGAAGGCAACAATCAAACAACAACCACAACAAAAATTTAGGAAAGGAAAAAACACCACCAGCTTCCATCAACAGCTCAAGAGCCTGGCTTAGGGAGTAAATATAATGCAACAATGCCAAGTTTAGATTTTTAAAGTTTGGGTGCACTGAATTGTTGGTTTGCTTCACTTATCCTCACTATATAATGAACTGCAAAGTAACATTTTAAAAGAGTAGGATCAGCTTGCCAGCAGTTGCTGAGTTTGCTTCATCTCAATGCTCTGTGTTTCTCTGGCTTTGATCTCTAATCTGCTAATAAACAGACAATGTCAGGACTAAATCAAAAAATTTACAGTCAGAGTGTCAAATTCTGATTGTGCAGCTGCAGTGGCACTGCAATCAACAGAAGAATGCCAAAATACACTTGTGTAAATGGCAGCAGAGTTGTGTTCAAATTGTTTGGTCAAAAAATGGATCTCTCACCTCCACAATTATTTCCAGTAACACTGCAGCCAGTAGCATCAGTGCCCAACAGTTCTACATTTACTTCCTTCACGTTTTTCCCTGTGCATGTTTGCTCAGATTACAAATCAAATTCAGCATGTGCTCCCTCTGTTCTTGTTTTGTACAACTTAACTGTAGGTACTACAAATTCTGGGTCCTGTGGTCTGCTCATTTACATGGCATGGGTTGTGCTAAGTGAAATCAAGCAAGGCAGGCTTAGATTTAAGAGTTCCCTGAACTGAGGAATCTGCAGCAGCATGAATTTTCTTGCGACCTTTTCTCCTAAACTGGTGCAGAGGGTGATTGACCTTCTCAGGCAAAGGGGCACAGTGGAGCCAGATTAACAAAATCTGTCATTCCAACTTCCTGACATACCCAGAAAATCACAATGGGGTATAGGAGAGGGGGAAGTGGTCCCTCTTCTAAAGGTAAAGAATAAATACTTTTTTTTAATAAAAAAATGTAAATAATAAATACTTGTTTTTCATCCAGCTTTCCTGATCTGGTTTTTTGTTGTTGCAAACTGATACACAGTGCTGAGCTGAATAAATCATGTGATGTGACACATGACAAATACAAGTCCCTCATGAGTGACAGTACAGAGCTGCTTCATTAAATCTGATGAAAACAAACCCAGGATTTCACCTGTGGTAACTGCACAAAGCCACAGTGCTGTAAATAAATCTCAGTGCAGTTCAGGGTTATGCTGTAACTGCTGTGGCAATGACTGCAGCAATGATATCTCTAATTTCTCCCTCTTCTCTGGGTAAGATTCCTCCTGCTGCACACTTAATCATCACTGTTCTTCAGAGAAACCCACACCCCATGTCTGCTGTCATAAAATAATCCTGAGGATGTTATTCAGATTCAGATGTTTCTGTAGAGAAATCTTTCCATTGATGAGGGCACAATTGTGTGTTAAATCTCTGCTACTGCCCTATGAATGCCAAACCACTCCTTACTCCTGCAACACCACTGGAATCATTGGTAAAACAGGAACTCTGGGGTACAAATTTGGGTTGACACTCATTTCACTGGGACTTTTTTCACTCTGTGCTGTAAAAATGCCAGTGGATCTGTTCTAGTCTAAGAGAGTTTCACATTCGGCATCTTAAAGGAGTTCTGAAGATTTGGAAATGTGTGAAGAAAAAGGTGCTTCCCATGCCAGTGTGGCATGTGGGTGAGAGAGGAGAAGCAGAGTTGAGGCACTGTCCTCCTAAAAGCTATTTCTGAAAGCCAGGAGTAGAGCTGAAATCACAGCCAGGGCACTGTGATGAGTGAGAGGCCTGTGCAGTGAAGTCAGAGGAAAAACTACAGCTGGCTTCAAGAGGAACTGAATGGGCTCTGTGAAGAGGCATCTACAAAAAAAGGACAAGGAGAAAAATCCTGGGTGTGAAAAATCCTCACTGCCCCTGGAAAATTACAACTGCCAGGTCACAGGGTGTGTTCTCAAAGCTGCTTTTATGTACATCATCAATACTGGTTTCTGGGATGACCCAGTGATAAAGGACATCCCAAACCTCTGTCTGCTTACATGGAAATGCTGCATTCTTTCTGAGGTGACACTCTCAGAAATTTACATTCCTTGTGAGCTAACAATAAGATGTCCAGATTAACAGGTATTACACAAGACAGGTATTAGGCAAGAGGAAATCTGAATTTCTGTTGCCAAGAAACAGACTGTATCTCAAGTATTATTCAAAACCAGGCAAGGTCTCTGCTGTCTGACAAGACATTTCTATGGTAACAAGAAACCCTTTCCCATTCTCCCAGTGCATGCCAAGATGTTTTCCTTACCCATTCTCCCTCCTGGCACAATCAGCAGCCCCAGATGCCAGCAGCTGGTGCCAACAAGAGCAGCTCCCCAGACCTCAGCTGGCCTCCCAAATCTGTGCTTGTCTACACAACTGATTGTTGGTCCTCAGATATTTCCTTTTGGCCTCATAATCCAGAGCAGTCCAGTCTAATTTCCACGAATCATGACAAGGGAAGTGGTGATGCAAAGGCTCAGACAAAGCTTATTAGTGGGGCAGCTTTCTCATTTTCCCTCCCATGAAGGAGAGTCCAAACTGAATCCAAACTGTGAACATCCCATTGAACACTCCCTTGATCCAGATGCAATTTAGTTAAATGAACAGATAATCATCACAGTGCCCAACAAGACAGAAACAATATCATAATAACCTGCAGGCCTGTGGGTAGTTGTTGTTGTTGTTGTTGTTTTTAATTTTGTACACAGCAAACAGATTTAGGAACTGATGGATCATTTCAATCTCTCAGAACAAATCTGATGAGTAAGTAATTTGCTAATTGCTGCTAGACTGTGCCATTTACAGGCATACCTTAATCACTGTTGTCAAAGAACCTTATTCTAACACTATTCTTACTTAGTTCTGTAAAGCAGACATTTTGAGCAGTTCCTCCTATTGATACACTAAAGACAGAGAAGCCCCTTGTCTTTGACTATTTCTGTATTTCTTTATTTCCTGAAGTACAACAACTGAGCTGTGCTGCCATTAAGTCTGCCATTCCATTTGAAATGACAAAGTTGAAGTAAACTCCCAGAGAGAGGATAAACTCTTACCCAGCCCAGGCATGTGCTGCTTACCTCCAAATCCAGGTCTCAGAGCAAAGTCATGGTCCTCTATGTGAAGGAGCTGCTCAGTTTTGAGTGGTCGGACCTTCGTGCTGTCAAGTTTCCTCATTTTAATTTCTCGTTTGCTATGTTAAAAGAAAAAAGTGAGAAACTTCATTTATTTCTGCTGCCCTGACATTTACAGTGCTAGTCACATGAAATAGGGACCTGGGAATACTGGGCAGCTGAATCTGGAATGTTAAGGGTAAATACTGTGCTAATAAAGCTGGAGAAAGATATATTGGGAAGGGTTGGGAAATGAGGTATGAGGGTGCCCAGGTCCATGAAGAACACCAATTGTTTATAAGAAGTCACAGGAAGAACTGCTAAATCCTCTGCTGTTCTCCTCAGAGATTGCAGCTATCACTATTCAAGGGAATAGAGCTGTTTAAAGTCATTATTCACATAAACACTTGCAAATCATACTTGGAAATAACACCACATATCCATGGTTTAACCCCTTCATGCATTATCCATACTACAGAGACAATAATTCCTTTTTTTATAAATTTGGCTTTTTTCCTAGGAGCTCAAGTGAGCCAATGATTTTTTGTAGAAGGACTGAGAAAGGATGATCCTGGATCTAGGGACTTGCAGGGGGACTGGCTTTAAGTGGAAAGAGAGTAGGTTTAGATGGGATATCAGGAAGAAATTCTTTCCTGTGAGGGTGGTGAGGCACAGGCTGCCCAGAGAAGCTGTGGATGCCCATCCCTGGAAGTGTTCAAGGCCAGGCTGGATGGGTTTTGAGAAACCTGGTCTAGTGGAAAGTGTCCCTGCCCATGGCAGGGGGGTTGGAATGAGATGATCTCATGATTTTGTATTTTACTGTACACATCAGGAACACCTTTCTCACAGAAGTGTTCTCATGGGAATGTAGTGCTTTGGCAGGTTTTGAGATTCCTTTCACTCAGGCTATTTCAGAATAGGTCAGACATTTATCTGCAGGAATGACTTGAATAGAGCTGCTTTGCCACAGCCAAGGGACTCTCCCTAGACACAATTTCTTTCATGCCTTCTGTGATTCTCTGGGACTTTGCTGCAAGCAACTGTAATTATTACTTTTAACTGAAGGATAGAAATGTGTTCTGAGGACTGGCCTTGTAGTCAAACACTGCTTAAGGCAAGGTATGGAACACCTTAGGATAAGGTGTATGCCTCTATTTACTAAGTTTTGTCCTCCCTCTCACTTTTTTCTTAATAAAGAAGCCCAAGAAAATACTTTTATGTTACAGGAATGATGAGGTGGCTGCTGGGCTACTCAGAATTGCTGGGCTTGAACGAATTCATTTACCTCAGTATTCTTGAATGTCTCTGGCAGTGCTGTCTGAATCAAATTACCAGGGCCATCAGAAGGTCCATGAGGCATTTCAAACACAGACTTTGGTTTTCTGAGTATGAAATCATGTGGATGGTGAAATGCAAGCCCACGCTTCAGAGAATTAAAATCACCACAGATCAAGCCTGCAGCAGGGTACAATGGGCAGCAGAACTGAACAGCTGCAATGTTCTACACGAGGAAATTCTGCTGCCTGGGATCCAGGAGAGGAGAAAATGATGAATTATGCTCAGAATGCCATGGCACAGTTAATACACTTGGGAAGCATGAGGTCATTTGTCATCTGATGTGCCAAGGAAAATGCCTGTTTGATGCTCCAAGGATTTCACTGCAAGAAGCAGGCTGGAACTGATTCATCTATTACAACTCCTCACTAGAAGCAAGTCTGTGACTGAGGAAGACTTTCCCTGGACAAGAGAGGCAAAACATAAGCTACCAGGGCAGGAATTTCCTATTTAATAAGCCACTGGGAAGAGATCTTCTGGGATTTTAAACCACAAAGCTATTTGGAAGGAGCATGGCCTGCTGACTGCTCAAGGTAAAGAGCTTAAGCATGCTGGACAGATTCTTACACTCCTGCAAAGTATTTGGAAGCCTATGGAAGTAGCTATCATGCATTGCAGAGGTTATCAAAAAGGGAAAACAGCCCCCAAACTGGGAAATCACTTTGCTGATAAAGCAGCAAGAGGGGTTGCAAAAAGGCCATTCTTGCAGTGGTAGCACAGAAAGAAACAGATTTGTCAGAGTTTACCCCAAAATATGATCAGAGAGATCACAAATTAATTAAGTTTCTTGAGGCTGAGACCAAAGAAAGTGGGTGGGCTGTTACCCCAGCATGACAGGTTGAAGTTCCACCCCTGCTCCTTCAAGAAATAGCCCAGCAGGAGCACGAGATTATCCACTGGGGAACAGAAAATCTTTTAAAACATCTGAAGAAAGTCATAATAGGGAGAAGAATGATTGATACTGTACAATCTATACCAAGCAAGTGTGAAACCTGATGTAAAAACAACCCTGACACAAGCACAAGAGTTGTGTTAAGGGTAACAAAGACAGGAGATCCCCCAGGAAATTACTGGCAAATAAATTTTGCTGAGATGCCACACAAGGAGGGATGGAAATCTACACTGGTACTGCTGAATCCCTTCAGTGGATGGCCTGAAGCTCACCCCAGTCACCAACACAGCAAGGGAAGTAGTGAAAGCTTTGCTCAATCCTGTCATTCCAAAGTTTGGGGTTCCTTTGGGAATGTCACCAGGTAAAAGACCACATTTTGTTGTGACAGCAGGTAGCAGGATTCTGGGACTTGTGGTAACCACATATTCTCTGAACAGAGAGAGACATTCCCCCAGGATTCTCCTGGGAAGCTGTGAGAAGCTGTGGGAAACTTAAAAAGAAGGGTTCAAACAATTAATATCTCTCTTTCTGTAACTGTTGTTTATAGATATGGTTCTCCAGAATGTGCCATTCATAGTTCACCAACTGTGTGAGAGAAGATTCCTAAAGGCCAATCAGGCATTAAGTCCACCATTGTTTCTATAAGAACTGTAGATTTCTAATAATAATGTGTCTTTTCATACCTTGTGAATCAATCCCTTCCATGGACAGCCTGTCCCAGAACTTGACAGCCCTTTTGAGGAAGAAATTTTTGTGAGAACATTAGCAGAGGGATGCACCTAAGGACAGGAAATCTCTCTTTACCTAGCTGCAGTAGTAGCAACAAAGAGAACCCTGGCATTGGTGTAGATCTGGGCAATGATAAAAAGTTCTTGGTCTCAGTGAGGCACATGCTCAAGAAACTACTGCTTCCACTCATAGCTGTGCCTCCCATAGCTGTATTTCAGACAAGGGCTTATATTATGTAAATTAAATGGCAATCTATAATTACAGTCCAAAAGAGGCCATAAAAAGCACTTGACCTGTTTCAGATCACACAGGGAATTCACTCTTGCTGGTACTTCTATATTAAATAATTGGGAGCAGTAACTTTTTGGCTGAATACTATTGCATGGACCTTGGCATTTGCCAGAGATCTCAAAGAGCAGTTAGTCACTGCCTACAAAACCAAAGCAGCTAATTCAGAATTAATTAACAATGGACAAAGATGTGTCAGGCTTTTAAAGACAAATTTAGCTGCTCCTACCTAGCCTTGAAAACCATTAGCAAATGAAAGGCTAAAGGTCTGCTCAAGGGCACTTAGATCATGTTTGGTTAAAGCATTTAATCACTTAATGTCATCAGTGTAGCTCCACAAACCAATGGCATGAGTGGTTCGTGTCCCATCTGGTTGTCTTTAAATTACCAGGCTATCAAAATTTTATGCTGGTTCAAGGAGGAATAGGACAAGTTCATGGAAAAGAAATCCACTGAAGATCACTAAATCTACAGAAATTACACCCAACACAGGATGGTGCTGGAGAAAATTTGGTGGCTTGGTACAGCTGTGAATATTAGGGAGAAATATCTTATTTAGCCAAGGTTGTGCTTGCAAGCCCTTATTATAAACTCAGTACAGTACAGGGATCCTGGAAAGATCCTGCTTGGCTGTTCTGTTTCAGAGTTCTGCTAATGACATGGTAAAATTTCTTGTAGGAAACTAGAGAAAGGGTTTTTTCCCCTACCATCCCTTCATATTCAGAATTAAACTAAGTAAGTTCACGAGAAGAATACTATTAAGGTGCCTTTTGTGAAAAGAATACACTGGATGTCATGGCCATAAGTTTCTTTCCATTGTTGTGTCCCCAGGATATTCTGGCTACTCCTAAATCAAAGGTATCCAAAAGGTAGAAGTTACAGAAATCCTGTTCCAAGGGGAGACTGTGGGGTAATCCATCAGTGTGATGGATTAAATGTTTAAATACATTCATCAAGCCTTGAAGCCCAGATAAATGAAATAATCAAAATTGCACCGTTCTCTCATACACATGAAAATGCATTTCTAATTGTTCAGAAACATCAGCAATATGTACCAAGAAAAAAACCAATATTTTGTCAATCAAATGTTTTGTTCTTTGCTGTAGGAAATGGACTATGGGAATAATCGCTTTCTCTTGTACTTTTGGTTAATGCTTCAAAATCTTCTTTACAGGAGAATGCAGACAAACAGCTTTGGAGGGAGAACTGGGTTACTCTATTAAAACAGTGGAACTTGTAGGTTAAGTAACATTTTCACATGGGATTCTTTTTAAAAGGCCACCCATTTAACCAAGGCCATCTGTCAGCTGTGTCCCTAATAACTCTAGCACTGGCTGAAACATTGTTCCCAGAAAGAAAAAGATGCTGCTGCAAAGTCAGACCCTGATGCAATGTACTGGAGGATAATGCAGCCTTTAGAACAAAGGCAGAGAATGAAACAAAGAGAAATTAAACACGTTTGGATCCTTTGCAGAGAAAAGCTGATTTGCTGCTGTTAAGCTTTGGGATCCTCTGTGGATCAGATTTTCCAGTCTTCTCCCCAGCTCAGAATCACCAAGACCTTGGAAAGGAGGATGTGGGATGCCAAAGCCTGCCTGGTACACAGAAAACTGCCCCACCAGGCAGCAGCAGATGGATTCCTCCTTGTCCCTCTTCCTCCTTTCTGATAAAACACTCGTGCCTGTCCCCCAGGACTGTCACGTGGATTCATGTGCATGTGCCAGTAAAGACCTGGGACCATGCAGAGCACACTGTGCTAGCACTGGTGTTGCAAGAGGATTGTCATCAGGATGCCACAAAATTTCCTGTCTCCTACTCCCAGGTCCCCTCCTGCTTTGTGATTTCTTATGCCAACATGGAGCAACTGCTCAGGATAAATGCAAACAACAGCAGCACACGCTCCCCCCTTACCAGAGACAAAAGTGTAGCAGCTGAGCTTAAAAATGACCTCCCTTGCCACTGCCACTACCAAGGTATTTTATTCTGTTTCCATTTGATTCTTAACTGCTTCCTGAGACTGGCAAAGCACCAGATGAAATCTTATGTTGATACTGGGGCTGGTTCTGTTTATTTTCCTTTGTTATTACAAATAATTGTGCACCAGCACTCAGAATGTTATAAACAGACTGCTGAGCAGCGATTCTTTTCATGAAGATAATAATTGGCTTGCACCAAACTTGGACCCATAACTCTGAACAGAAACCCAGAAGTCCTGAGTGACACAGCACCTCTGTTGTGTCATCTCTTACCCTGCATTGCTAAACAGGATTTTATCAAGACTTGGAGGGTTCCAAGTGGATGATTGCATAAGAAATGATACAGGATGTTAACAGCTGTACACCTGCTGTAAGGCATGCAACTTGAGGGGGAAAAAACAGCTTAAACATATCAGAGGAGTGCAATTATGTTACTTTTCTTCAAAATGTGATGTTGGACAAATAAACTAGGAGCTCCCAAGAAAGAGGAATTTTTCTTGGATTATCACTGGCAGCCACTGGTCTGTTCACACAGTATTAGATTAATCTAGAAACAGGCTGAGAGACCTCACATGGCAGATGTGAGCTGCCTTCCTGGGGAAAAGCACTGACACTTTGCCCAGAAATATACAGGTAAAAACCCCTCAATCATTATTCATTTTCAACCAGGTACTCGATTGAAAGGCCAAGAACAAAGTCAATTTTCAATGTCTAAAAGCACTAAATATATTCCAGAAAGGGAACACACTCCATCATCACTACAAATAAAGTGCAATTCACCTCATTTAGTGCCATAAAAAAGTCTTCTGTAGCTTTATAGTGTAGCTACTCTGCTGTTTGGGTAATGGAAGGCACTTTGTAACACTGGCACAGGACTTTGGAAGGCATTTCTGCTTCTTGTGAGGGGAGTTAGAGGGCAAGAATACTTGGAACATCACAGCAATAACCTGGTAGCCTTGTATCACACTAAGTAAAAGAGCTGTGTGTGGGTGTGGGTGGGTACATAACTGCATATTTTTGAGACATTCATAAAATCACAATGTGAAAGGTCTGGTTATGAAAAAATAATTAATACTTCACCATTTCTGCTTTGGGAACATCCTATCAATACCATGCATACTATAAACCCAGAAACTGGAAAAACAGGACAGTGAACCAAAGGGGTGTGCTGAAAGGTGGCTGACAGCATGAAGTTTACCAGCTGAACAGAGACAGATGAAGTTTATTTCTTACCTGTTATGTTTTCTTGAGAATGACATTTGTTGCCGGCGATGAAGACGGTGATGCTGACTGTGAGAGCTGTGTAGCACTGCTGTTGGCCACAGGCAGGTGAGGAACAGAAGTTTCATGACCAGGACCATCTCTCCCAAAAGAGAAATGCCTGATCACCCAATCCACCTTGCTCACTTCTTATTTGTGAGTGTTTTTACCCTTTAGAAACAGCATAGCAGACACAAGATGCACCTGAAGCAAGGCATCCCTGAAGAGAGAAGACCGGGGCATCCCAGTTCTGAGGTCCTCGCCGAGTTCCCCTCGTATTTTGGCAAATCATAAACATTCCCTCAGCTCTACATCCCTGCAGCATCTGCTGTCCAGCCAGGAGCACCTTGTTTTCAGCACTGGGGTAGGTAGGGCAGTTTGCCTGGCCAGGCTGCCCTGCTCTGATCCATTGCTGCCTCTCTTTCAGTGAAGGCGCGGGTTTAAATTCTCCATCACCCGCTCAGTAACCTCCTGGACAGAGCCTGTGCAGCAAAGTGATGTCAAACATTTAATCCCCCTTAAATCCCACACAAAACCATACAAAAATCTGCTTTAATGACAAAGGTCTCTAAATTAATCTTGCTTTCTATAGATGTGTGTATCTGCTCAAAATCATCTTCTGCACAGATCAAGCCCTTTTGTTAACTGGCTACATTGCCCTCTCTTCCCAGCCATTAGCATCAATTCTGGCTCTGTCAGCTGCCAGCACTTTGTCAGTACACACACACATTTCCTTCTGAACAGAACAATATCACAGAACAAGCCCAAACTTGAACTCCTGTTGTGATACTCCCCAATACCAGAAAACACAATTTCCCCCCCTCTCTTTTTTCTTCTTTTTACTAAGCTCTGCAGCTGTTTAATTCACCCTACATTTACAAGGTATGTGCACGTCTAAGATCCAGTATCCTGGATAATTTTATCTTTAGTTCATTTAGCCTGCCCTACCTGCTCAATAGAAGGTTGAATTGCAAAACAATGTATTAACAAAATGTTGCTTAAGCAATAACTTGTACATGGCAGCTAGAAATGACAGTAAGATTTCTTAAAACTGGACACTATTGGGGACACAGCTGATACAGTCAAATTTATCCTCTTCAAGCCATCAGCAAGTTCAGTGGTTATTAAAAGTGACAGCATACATTTCTTTTTCTTTATCTAAAAACCAGAGATTTGAAACTGAAAATCAGGAAATGGAATATCCCACCTCAATCTAGCAGCTGGAGGAGTAATTTGGGTCTCCTAGCAGGAGGCTTCTTCCTAAGTAAGACAAACCCAGGAATAAAACCAAACCCAACACTGTGTCTGCAGAGACTGTGAGCACCCACACACTCAGGGACAATAATCCTGTCATGTGGGCAGCTGCTCCTCAGAAGCTCCCAGAGATTTCCAACTAACTTCACCTGGGCCAAGAAATAATTCTCAGGTATGGGTGATTTCCAGGTGGAGGTTACCAATGGACAGCTAATTCCCACTGTTAGCCTAAACTGGGTCTAAGATCAAAGGTTCCCAACCTTAATATCCACATCATTCAGCTGTTTTATAGTTTAATCCTTTCCTGTTCAGCAAATTTAGGGAGGAGAATTTTCAGCCTGGCCCAGGGACAGTCACAGAGTGCTTCTGGTGTTATTCCAGGGTGGAATTTCCAGACATGGTAAACATGAGCTGCAGTTAATAAAATCTGTAACAGGTTCCATTGATTTGCTAACATTTGGGTGGGAAAAGGAAAATAAGACAATAACTCTAATGAGAATTTACTCCAAGTGGAGATAAATACAAGTTCCTGAGCCAGTCTGGTCAAGTTCCCCAGTGTCACCCAGCCTACACATATCCAAGTATTAGCCCACTAATTAATTTACATGTAAGAAAAAATCCAACAGCCTTTGGATCCTCTTCTTTCCCCACCCAAGCACAGGCCCAAGAGTGGCAGCAAATTAAATAAAAAGCAAATGACAGTGCAGTTTGTGTGGTAAATATGTTAGCACATTTCTGCATGTCTGGCTACATGCACATCCATCAGAGTGAACTCATTTTCAACCACTTTCCTCAGCTATAAAAGAATACATTTATACCTTGTCTTCCCTGCTAATTCTAGTTCCCATTGTTCCCAGACACTGTGGACAAAGCCATATTTTGGATGTTAATATAATCCCTAGCTGGATGCACTAGCTGTTATCCCCACTAAGCAGGAGACACTTAGGAATGGGGACACAGAGCACGTTCTGGGTGCTGAGGTTTACCCACCAAGAGCTCTGCAGGGTACCTGTGGGTACACCATGTCATGCTAATGCAGAAACCTGATGATTTTGTGTGCTGACCTCAAGGAACTCAAAGGAGTCCATTAGAAAGAAATAAGTCAAAAGGGCTTTGTGGATTTACTTTCCAGCTGGAAAGGGGAGTGCTTAGAAGTGCTGCTGCTCCAGAGATGTGGCTGTGCAGAATGACTGGCATGTCCCTGGCCAGGCTGCACAGGGATGTCCCTCCCCCAGGAGAGGGGAGTCTTCAACAGAGACACAGGAAATTAGAGCTCTTTTCATCGAGCCATCAGCACCCTGCTGCTTTATTACTCCTGGCTGTAGCAGCAACTCTACCACTAAGCTGTGCTGCTGAAAAGACTGCTCCGTGGGGAATTTCCACAACATGCTGAATGCTCCTTTGACTATCCCTGCTAAAATCAGCTTTAATTCAACAAACTAAACAAATAAATAAATAAAAGGAGAAAGGGCTGCATGCACTGACATATTCACCCACCTTCACCCATCTAATGTCATAAACATAGCTTGGGAGGCCTTGCCTGAGCACAGTGAAAATCCCAGCACTGCCCCTCTGTCCTGTGGCACATTTCCAGGAGCAGTCCAGCCCACACACATGGAGGGGAGCCTCTCCTGCAGAGGGGAACCAAAAGCACTTCCACTGATGGGCACAAATATCAGTGAGGGCAAACCCCCAGCAACTGGGTTTCTTAATGCTGGACCTGATTTCATTTCCTCTGGGGAAGGCAGCATTACACAGAGCAGATTATACCACCACTACCAATTACCATTAAGAAAACAGGTTAATCTCCTAAGCATTTGTCAGTAATAAATTCCAAAAAGATCTCTCTTTGGAGAAGAATAAAAACAAGATAACACATTTTGCTTGTATTGGGCAAGTTGCTGATCAGTTCATGTTTTAGACACAGAGCAGTGTCTCTTTGCTATCAGTAAAATTATTTCTTTAAAATGATCTGTAGCCTATTAAAAGTTTGCCATGCTTATCTTCCTGGGACTAAACCTGGCACATGGTAACAGTGCATCAGCTCATTGAACAGTTTGCAAACAAGCCAGCAAGGAAAAGAAGCAAAGGTGAACACACCACCTGGTTTCAGAAAATGAGATGCCTGCTTTTAGTCAGCAAAATAAAACATTCCTTCTGGTAACTGCAATCTGGAGCTACAGACCCCTCTCCACCACAGATCACAGAGCACAGCAGATTGACAACAGCTACTGTAAAAACAAGAACAGAATACCAGGGATGAAGAAATGCTTCAGAGGCTCGAATTTTGCAGAAAATCTGATCCCACCTAAAGGCCATTTTAAACATATGGAGATAAAAGACCACAGCACACTAGCACTTTTCCATCTATTAAAAATAAATTAGCTGCAGTGAGAAGAGATGCAGTGTGGAATGGGGAGTGTAGGTTTACATGGCAAGTATTTTTTTCCTCTCCTAATCAGAGAATGAAATACCAGGAAGAAAACATTAATAAGTCTCCTGAGAGGCACTCACTTCTTACAACCAACCAGCAAATCACAGAAAGCAGATTAACCACATCCATGACTCTGAGAGTGAATGCAATACAGCAGCACAGGAACAGGCAGCATTTTGCTTTTCTATGGTAACAGACCCAGTGCAGAGCACTCACCATTTATATCATGGTGACTTACAAAATTAATGTTAGAACTAAGGACAGTTTGTCCTGCTTATATTAACACAAATGACAAACCATGTTTGAGGAATTAAGAGATCCATTCACATTTCCCAACAGGATGAAGTGGGAGGAAAGCAGAGGCTGGCAATTATGATTCCAGTTTGCAGCTCTCAGAACAGAGCAAGTGCCTTTTCTTCTCATGACAGAACAACCAGCTGTTATTTTTCACTAAGGTAAAGGGCAGCTCATTAAAAAGTAAAGGTCAGCTAAACACTTTCCTGAACACAGCTGTTGTGTGCTATGAGGTCTCCTTGGGTGCCCAAGAATCCAGTCACAAACAGGGCAAGGCACCTGTACAAAGTCTGCTGCTTTGAGAGCAGAGCTGGACTAAAATGCCACAGACTGGAGACCAAATTCCATTCCTGAGCCTTGTCCAGTTTCTTACTGTCTCTGTCCACTGCCTATTCATCCACAGGTTATTTTAAAACTGTACTGCAGGATCCTCACAAAACCATAATCCACCAAAGGCAGGTATATATTTTCCCATATAAAACAGCCTCTAAATTCCAGGCTTGAACAGGTGACTCTGTTTGGCACAAGGTCTTTTCTGCCTTTCCTTCAATCTACAAAACTCAGGCTTCTGTTTGCTCTGGAGCTGTGTTGGCTACACACTTTTTTGTATATTCAGACATTTGGTTTGAAAGAGTGACAAGAAAAACAAATAAAAACCACACATTTCCCCTAACTCTTTGCATTTCCCATTTCCAGAGCCTCTAAATCAGGGATTCTTTCCCTTTCATCATTCTGCTCTGGACAGAACAATCACTGAATTAATTTCATCCCTAAATCCCTTAACTTAGCTTCTACAGCAACAACCTTGAAAGTGGAACAATCAGTTTTGCTGCCTCTGGTTAAGGAACATCTGCATATTGAGGGTGATCTCTGACAAAACAAGCAGCCACATTTTCCCCAGATTTACATTTGTCACAGCCTCAGTGGCAGAAATTTTCCCTTTCTGCCACCTCATGCTGAGCACAGGCATGGAACACAGCTACCCTACTCCTGCATGTATGCCCATTTTTTCCCCAGGAGCAGTTTCTAGAGTTTGTTTCTTTATTTCTGTAGGATTTAAAAAGAAAAAAAAAATCTTTTAGCCTCTTTCCCAAGTCAGAGAGGATCAAGGGGCTGACCCTTAAGCCTGAGCAATTCTCAGA